ATGTGTTGTCGAGATTGAAGAATTCTTTAGCCTTGATTCCAATATATACTTCTATTTAGGAAGCTTCTCAAGCAACTTCTATCAACTAGGAAGCTTCTAGAAGGTTCCAGAGACTTGCTTCTAGAAGGTTCTAGAAACTTATCTCTAGAAGGTTCTAAGGACTATATCTCTAATATCTTCTACCAACTAAGAAGCTTCTAGAAGGTTCTAGAGACTTGCTTCTAGAAGGTTTTAAGAATTATGTCCCTAACACTCTCTCATTGTGCAACCATCGTCGACTTACTTATGGCATTGGTATGCGGAGACTTGCTTTTCTTGAATAAGAAAGTTAATGAGCTCTTTAAATAATTAAAAAAAATGATGTTGTACTCTTTTTTCTTCATCTATGATTTTTTCCTTAAATACAATAAGGTTTTTCTAGATAAGGTTTTAATGAAGCAACAATTGTTGATCTTATAAGATCACAGAAAAATATAGATCGTAATTCTATACAAATTTTATATTATGTAAATATTATGATGAGTGAGGAGGAGTGTTGAGATCATTAAATGTAGCCGGTACTCTCCATAATATTTACTGCAGACTATAATAAATACCATAGCTAGAATATTTAGAGTCTAGTGAAGAAGTACTATTTATTCTTTCTTCCATTTCTTCTTATATATGAGATACAACCAGATCAATAGATTTTTATGTGTGAAGCTCTGTCTTCTTAGAAACCCTCTTGTGTATATGACTTACTATTACTCTTGTGTGTATGTATTATTTACTATTACTCTTGTGTGTATGTATTACTTATTATTACTCTTGTGTCTTTCTAAACTTTTTCAACAATCGAAACAACTTTTAGCTTTTTTGTATGACTATATGGATGACTTATTTTGTGATGAATCAACATTCATCCTTGAGGAGGTCTTGATCACTGAATCCAAACGTTATCGTTTACTTAGACAAAAGTAGGATGAAGAATATTTCGTCAACAAAAACAAAGTGGAGCTAGAATTCATCCAGTGGATGAGTAGTGACATTTAGAAATTACTCACCACTCATCTATTATAATACAAGTTTTTTTTGAATGAATATTTATCATCAAAATATCATTTTAATTCAAAAAAATAAGCTTATATTTTCCAATCCTAAAGCTCCTCTTCTACCCACTCTCACAATAAAATACAACTTTGACACCTTTCGACCTCACATAGTTTTTTTTATCAACAAAGCTTTTCTATGTCACCTTTATTAAAGTAAAAAGTGTTCATCCACCCAAAAGTTATGCAAATGTATGTAATTTAGAAGCTATAATTAAATAAGAATATATGTACATTTCTTATACTTAGAGGAAACAAGGTCAAACATTGAGTAGATAAGCTTGGTTAAAAGTTTAACAAATAGTGCTTGCATATTTGCAAGGCATTTAAACAAACAAATAAAACACAAAATCATATTCCTAGAAGAAAATGAACAAGTGAAATATCCAAAAAAAAATTATCTTTCAAGATAATAATTTGAATGGAATTTTTTTATCTAATGCATGTTGTTCATTATTCTAAGTATTATAATTGTCCATCAACCCTTGAGTTTGTGGAAACATGCCCTAAGCTAATGTAAAAAGTGGTCAAGTTGTTAATTGAGTTTTTTTTTTTTTTTTTTTTTTTTTTTTCATACAAAATAATCAATTTATTGAAAAAATAAACAAAATGTTTTGATCACTAGTTTTGCATACATCTTATACTAAGGTCTTGGAGCAAAAGAATGAATGTTTGGAGACTCTTTACAATTGAGTGAAAAATAAAATGTTTTAGAAACTATCTTTTATATAAATCGATACTTCTTACTTTAACTTAAAATAGAACAAACATAACATTGTGAATTTCTTGCATTAAAAAAATAACTCAAAATATTTCACTTGAACTTGGCATTATTAGAATATATATATATATATATATATATATATATTTAAATCTTGGAAAATTTACATACAAATAAATGAATAAAACTATTCAATAATACCAATAGTTATATTTATTATTTTATTACTAGTGGTTAATTAACCACATTTATAGTGGAATCACAATCTGTGACATATATTTAAATATCATCTATTTGAATTTATGTGTGATTGAAAATTGACGTAACAGTAGCTTCCTCCATGTCCACAATTCATGACCATTCAAATTTATTGTACCAAATATCGATTTATTTGGAAATAGAAACAGGAAGAACTACAACGTTTTATACCAGTTATTACATTGATGCAAATATGCTTCATACTTCAACTTTTAATCTTACATACAAATTAATCCAGTTTCTTGCAAATTCTTGTGAAGATGAGCTACGGTTTGAAAACATTAATTAACACACTTATTACATATATGTCTTATTGTAATAAGTCATATATATATATATATATATATATATATATCTTATTGTGTTCTGAGGTTTTTTAGAGAATCTACATTGTATCATTTAGAGCGTTTCTTCTTTATAAGCTAAATAATTCAGCCTTGTGTTGAACCTAACATTCTTAAAAAGAGAAACAGGATTTTGTTTTTCTTTAGGTGTCAAAGTTTAATTAAGGAACTTATCTACGTAATCAATTGTGTGACTCAAAACTCACATCCAAAATTGATGACTTTTTGAATTTCACGAGATATTTGTTTTAAATAATTTAAAGAAAAAATATAACACTCGTGCAAATTTATAAATTAATCAAAGTCAACACTGTAAATAATTATGTTTAATAATTGAACTGAACTTGAATTGTACCTTTGGTTTTATTTATACTACTTTCTTTTAACATTATGTTGTTGTTTTTTTTTTTTTTCTTAAGGAACAAGATTGCAATTACAAACTATGCACATAAGCAGATAGACATGCACTAAATAATCCTACAAGAACTTACTTAGAATGCATTATACTCACAGTATAAATCATTTAGAAAAGATCTAAAAAAATTATATTTCTTTTAAATAGAAACAAAATCATGAATAAGACACCATAATAAAATCTGGTGCATTGCTAAAAACACCATTTATATCATTAAAATATAATCATTAAAATAGAAGTAATAAAATTGATTACTAGTGTCTTCTATTAAAATTATTTTTATCACCCATTTATATATATATATATATATATATATATACACACTGAGAGAGAGACAGAGAGTACAAGAGAGAAATATTTTGTTCTAGGTACAGAGAAGTGACTGAAAGAAGGGTTTTTGATAATTTTAACTTTTTTCTTATAAACAATTCTCTCCAGTCTTGCTCTAATCTTCTTCTATTCCTACCTAATCCTTCCTACCTAGTCCTGTTGAACAACAAAATTTTAATCTTCTTAACTTTTTTCAATTGTATGTACATGTGTGTGTGTGTATATGTATGTATATATATATATATATATATATATACTTAATTTTTTTCTCTGATTAAAAATTGATCTTTAATTTCATATCCGCTACAATCAAATCAACATAAAATTCAATCAAGTAAATCTCAGAGCATCAATAAACGCACATGTTCCTTTCAAATCAATGACCAAGGGACTCACATTACAACCATACTAATGTAATGCAACTCTTGGAGAGTTACTTGACATGAGAAATATGTTTATGTAAATAGTTAAGAAAATTATGGAAACACAAATATTACAAAAATAAAATGCAAACAAAAATCAGTAAGCATACAGGGACACACCTTAAAACTTTTCAGTCTAGTTTAATTTCGACCTTAGATATCATCCACACACTGTAGCAGTTGTGTGTAGATAGATTTGAAGGTATGCAAATAATTATTTATGTACTCATATAATTGAAGGAAGAAAAGAAGTGGGAAGGGGTAGGTATGGACAGGTAGGTAGTTTAGTAGGTATCAAGTTTTTATGCATATAATAAAAAAAAATAAAAAAATAAAAAAACTTATGCACCAACATTTTAAATATTTGGATCTGATTTGCTTTTTAGATATACTAGTTTCCTAAAATTAAAAAATTAATGTGAATGTGTTACACACAGGACCAGTTACCATTTTTAATGTTATAAAGGCCAATAGCATCAGATATTTTCTGGAATCAAACTATTATTTACCCACATCAAATAAACATAAGGTAAACTACTGTACACTTTCTTGAAGCGAACTCTTATTGACCCACATTGCATTTACATGGACTTTTCAACCTATCTTAATCAAACATTATAGATGAGTCATTACATTTAATTATCAGAACCACTTCGGACAACTACTAACTGGACATTATCGAATGGAAAAACCAACTTCTGAAACACGAAAATGCTTCATGGATTTCTAAGCAACATTTGGGTGTTAGTTAAATACCATGAATAACGATTATTATAGCTAGAAAAATGTAACTTGTAATGGTGAGTTGTTACAAATGCAATACATGGCATACTTGGTACAATAAGTTCATTTGTCTTCCACCCCTTGTTAACTGTTTTTATTCCCTCTGAATTCAAACTTGGCTTCCCAACTAATCTGATCCATTTGTGACACAACCCAGTGCAGACACAAACCCACCTTAAATCTGAGAAAAAGCCTTTGCATACAACGCCCCAAAAGCGTGTGCAAAAACCGACACGCTAATCGACAGGGATAACACCTATAGTTGGAGAGTAACAAATCTGATTGGAAGGAGGATGCACTTCAAAGGTTGCAAAATATCTAGCTCACTGACACGTCTGCATGGTTGTGCACATCAAACTCATTGGAGCAGATGGGAGACAGACACACACACACATACACACCGCACAGTCTCCGAGAGACCCACCAGATTGCTCACGAAATTCCAGCGATGGCAAGGAATTCAACACTGTCCGAGGCGAGAACAGTCGGAGTGGCGCCTGATGATAATGCCACATATCTGCAGCTAGAAGCGCAGGGCTTGCTGACTATGATGAGATCAGGTTCGGAGGCGGGCACTGCACCAGCACCCTCCTGGTGTGGATCTAAGACTAGAGGAGGCGAGGAGCAGAATGAGGAGGAGGAGAAAGTCTAGAACCCCAAGACGGGGATTGCGGTAGTAGGTGGCGAGTTCCAGTACAGTCTTTCAGAGCTGCACATGATGCGAATGTTTGAAGGAGACAGAAGATGCTAGAGACGTCTGAGTCTCGATCATTGCGCCGGGCAGTTGCACAGAAGTTGTGTCGAAGGCGGAAAGAGTGAGGCCAGGTGGGGGCGATGATCAGGCTTCGGGGCGGACCCCAGAAAGGAGCCTCAACAGTATTGCCCTGAGGTGGCGAAAAGAGAGAAATTGGACCTGTGGACCCGGCGGGACCTATCTTCTCACCTCCTTGGCGTTTCCCGATTGCCAAGACTAGAATCACAAGCGCTAAAAATTCCTGGCTCTAGCACGTCATGTTTCCACCTGTCGGTTGACCTCCATCTGCTTTTGCGTCACTCCAAATATCAGCCCCATTCGATGGCGAGATGATGGATTGCGACCCAATTGTGCTTGCGATCGAGAAAGATGTCTGCTGCTCATCAACTTTTCGCTTTGCTATTCCGAGTGTGTGCCCGAATATAGTGCTGTTGCACAAACTCCTTTTCGTGTTCAGAGTGGTTGATATCTGTGGGTGTCAGGGATTTTGTTTGCTGTGGCAAGCCCTTTGAAGCAGCTTGAATTATAATTGTTTGCATATCAACCGGCGGTGATATCGGGCTCACGCGTGTTCCTGAAATTAGGACCAGTTGAATGAGTCTTTGTTTGTACCAGATCTAACATCGATTGTCACCGATACTAACGGTGGCCACCAAGTTTGTTACTGCGTGCCGTGCGTCTTAGTGACACAGTTCAACGTTATATAAGATGCATGACACATGTGATCGATTGATTGATGGATCCTTATGAAAGAGGGGTAGATAGTCGAGAGAGTCGAGAGAGTCGAGGGTTTCAGCCAGATTGAGATTGTTTTGTTCGCTTCATGTTGGTTTCACAGTTGGTACTCCGGGAGGTGAGCCCTTGAAATTAGGACATGAGTGTGTACTAGGGTTTGTCCATGATTGTTGCGATGGTGTGTGCAACGAATTATCAGTGTTAGTAAAATTTTGACATTTCGCTGGAGAGTCCTGCTCTAGACATCGCAGCTGGAGTTGTAGAGAAAATATCACGAGTCTTCAGTTCAGGTTGCTGCGATTAATTGTGATTAATTTTTTGAAAAAGTGAGTGGTTCTGGTCAGTAGATAGATAGACTCTGTTTGATGGTAAAGCCCTTGCGGAGTAGTCTGTAACTTGTGCTAGAGATTGAGCTTTGAGGTTTGAAGGAAATTATGGCGCCTATGACGTCGGATACAAGGTCCAGGAGAACAACTTCTTACTCATGGTCTAGTGACTCTAGCGCCAATCGGCCTTTGTCGCAGTGGCAAGATGTGGAGGGTATCAGCGGTCGGGTGGATGATTACACGAGCGACGCATATACTTATGATCGGAAGCGTAGTGGAGACAATCAATTGAAGGTTAACAGCATGAGTGACCTGAGCGACATGAGTGAGACCGATTCTAGTGTGAGAAGACCTCAACTCCGTCCGATTAAGGTAAATTATGAAAGCGACAGTTGTTTGACGCCGCGATCTCGCAGAACGCTTCCGAGGACGCCAACAGGCGCCATCGAGTCATGGCCGAGCGTACAAACTCAAACCAAACCTGCACTGGACACTATCTACAGCCCAACTCACGAGATTCTACACCCCATGCAAACACTGCTTCTGGAGAAATCGTTGTGTGAGAAATCAGCCCAGACGAATGGAGTCGCAGTGAGTTCGACCAAAGTCACTCCCGACAGCAACACGCCCCGTACAGGAGAAGTGAAACAAAGCCGTGTATATATTGATGGTCGCAAAACTCTGCAGCCGGAGACGAAACCTGACGAATATGAGAGCTACAAGCTTCCGAAACCACAATCGAATCGTTTCAAATTTGAAAGCTACACTCCTCCTGAACCACATCAGAATGCAAAATGTAACGGGGGGGGGGAGAAGTTAGAGCTAACTAGCAGCAAAGCTCAGGGCTCTCCAAAGAGAGAGGCTTTTGATATGGAAAGCGCTGAAGCATCAATGCCGAATATAGTGGCAATTATCATGGATGCAGAGAAGAAGCCATCATTTTCTGCTCTGGACTGGGCCATTAAATCCGTTGTTCAACCAGGGGACGAGATATTCATTCTCGGGGTTCTCAAACGCGTAACAAGTCCAAGTACGATTTTGTTGAACTTTTCTTCTAACACAAATTCATTATGCTCTGAGATGTCTTGACCTGCGCAGTTCAATTTTTGAATTTTGTTTTGCAAAATCTGTTCTGGATTAGATGAAGTGGACGGATTATAGTCATGTGATGGAAACGATGAACCAATGTTGACGATATGTTACCCTGCATGTGGCAGTGGGTTGTAAGGTTGTGGCAACAACTGATCTGTCGGTTGGAGTTAACGATGAAGTTCTGCAGAAGGAGGTCAATAGGGCAACGAGTTTCTTCGAGCACAAGTTGTCTGACAGTGGCAGAAGAGCAGAGTGTGAGAAGAAGAATGTGAGATTCTTGCGCTATGGTTCATGTTCTCAGCTCTGTGCGTTATTGTTTTGGATTTGAACTCGTCTACAAGAAGAGGTCGTTCTAGTTGTTGCGCAAGGCTGTAGTTGCTGAAAGTGATCAGGTGAATCTGCATGCAGGTTAATCTCACAGTGTGGATAGCACCCGGCGCTCGAGCCAGGACAGTGATTGTGCGAGAGTTGGCATCTCTCAAGGCCACATACGCAATTTTCGACAAGAGGGCAATGAGAAGCCATCGGTATTATGGGAAGCACTTGTCGTGCTATGCGGTGCGCATGAGAAGAAACGGGCGGTCCACAAAGGCAATCACCACTGTTTCATGTCAGAAAGCGTTGATCAGAAAATCAAGCTCTGTACAGACGTCAAACACGTCGCCCACGTCGCCCAACCACCACTCCGAATTCGAATCTCCAACTTTCTGGAGAAGGTTCAGAAACCTCGGATCAAGTCGTAACCTTACTCAAACTTCAATTAGCTCACCAAGCTCCAGTGCCAGTCAAAGCTCAGACACCATCTCGCCATCAGCTATCTCGGCAGTGGATCACTTAGACTCTTTCATTTCCGAAATGCAAGACTTCTCGATTTCGTTGGATCAGTCAAAACAGTTCAATCTGAGCGATGAACGAACTAAGTCGGAGTTAGCTCTGCAGTCACGCATTATTGCCGATGCGTTTTCGCACAAAAAAGCCATGGATGCTCACCGAATCAGACAGCGTCCAAGTTCAGTCTCTGTCCCCCCGATCTGCGCCACATAAACCTGCAGCTCTGGCCGCACAAATTAAAGTAGATTTCGAGATGAAGGTCTTGTTGGAGAGAGATCATCATACTGGTTGAGTAAATAATGCGGTCAGGATGCATGCTTGAAGATGCGAGTTTGCTGCATCAGTTGTCGATGCTTGATTGCTAAACCACATTTAGTTCATTCCGGAGCGCTCCGTTTGCCTGCAGAGGAATGGTTTCTCTTCCTAGCAGTTCTAGAGATGTAGAAGTGTCCTTGACAAGGGCAACTCAGTGAGTGGCTGAGAACTGAGCATGAATAACTTCTTCGAATGTATCATACATAGGATAAGCATCTGATATTTTCCGTTGTCAAACACAATCGATGAATAATTCACCCTTTCAAGGTCCTTTATGTTATTTTACTTCTTATAAGCATCTGATATTTTCCGTTGTCAAACACAATCGATGAATAATTCACCCTTTCAAGGTCCTTTATGTTATTTTACTTCTTGCTTCTTCTTCTTAAAATTTCGTAACTGCTACAACCATCTAGCGTATTGTACCAAAATGGTTTGGAAGAAGTATTTTTTAAGTAAGATGAAGATTGTAGTAAACAATTCAAGCTTTTCACAAACCGTAGGAATTTATTTAGAGATAAATAAATGTATGTATGCAATGGTACAGTAACACGGCAAAACGATTAAAAGATATTCCGTATAACATTCACAACTTACAGTCGAAGTTGATATTTGGCAGCGAAGTATCCAATAATATCTTGAAGAGTAGTCACATTGTGTATTGTGCGACTTACGGTAAATTTCTCACGTACCAACCTTTTTAATGGGTGGGGTTCAACAGTGCACAACGTCCTCAGTCTCCAACCCCGCCACTGCAGCTTGCCAGCCATACAATGAAACTTCACATGAAAAGGTTTCGGAACCCTGGAAAAGTTGCATAAGTTAATATACGTGTACTTCGTCACACAAAACAGTTACACCCCTGTAGTGGACTCACGACCTTTGTGGTCGTCCTCCTCAACAGAATATATTTTATAAAAGGTTAATTAATAAGAAAAATGTAATTAAGCCAATGGTTACTAATCTAATTTTTATATGGTATTAGAGCAACAAAAATTGGAATAAGCCAAATCTTTACTAATGAAGCAATAATCTTTACTTGGAAAAAGAAGAATCATGTTGCTTTTGCAACCATTTGGGATTGTATTGATAATTCCATCTTTTCACATATAAGAGTATGCAAAACAATCAATAAAACATGGCTGGCTCTAAAAACACATTATTGATTTATACACTATGTATTTTAGGGACTACAAAACTCCAAAATTTCATTGCAATCCTCATTTGAGAGGTGACAACTATGAGAGATTCTTCCTTAGAATTCCACATCTTTTTTATAAGATACAAGAACGAAGACAAGTTGCAACCAAGATCACCTTCAAAGCAACTTCTAAAATACCACAAATACTCAAAATTACAATCTAAATCTACTACTGTATATCCTCATCATAAAAAGATGGAGCACTTAAGCTTTGATTGTTTTAAAAAAAAATCAAAAGCTTTTGTTAATATAGCAACAACTTCTAATGAAAGTAAAAAGCAAAAAAATACATAGAAATAAAAAAAATGAAAAAAATGTCTTCTAAATTTTATGCATATGTGTAACTTGCATAAGCATAATACTTCATAATATCATCTAAACCAAGAGCAACAAAAAAATGCTCAATGGTTTATCAATACAAGAACCATTCATCACATGGTTCATAATCAATAATATTTTCTTAATTTTGAAGTATTTTTATTTGATAAGAATGAAGTCTATTTTGGTAATAATACCACTTTTTTTTATTTATCAATGTGATGAAGTAGAAATTTACATGGTGTTTGCTAAAATAATTGATAAATTTTGAATAAAGCTTAATAATCAATCTATTGAGTATATTTTATTTGGCTATAGATCCATAAACAAAGAATATATATTTTAGAAAATATTCATTTCTCCGTTGATTCTCCAACTTCCACCAATTAAATCAATATTAATTCTCTTCTTTAATAAGATCCAATTTTCTATCAAACAATGGGATTTTTATAAACTCCTCTAATATTGTCCTAGCTACTATTACAACTATATTTCTTCAATTGCAATCCATTTCTGGACTTTAAAATCTGATTTTTCTATCTTTATTTATAGAATTAGTTAAAAATTCTTTTGGATTAGAAATCATCGTCTATCTAAGCAAATATGCTTATCAAAATTACAAATTCTACAAAAAAGTTGAAATTATAAATTTACTACCTTTAATCTTATTACTACTTTTATAACTTTGTCAATTCAATTCTTGTTAATGCATTTTTTGTTTTTAGACTTTTTTAAAGAGATTCTAATTTTCTTGTCTTTTACAATAGTCATTTTGGTTTAATATTATACCATCTTTGAGTGATTATCTACTTTTCTTGAATGACACAAGAGTATATTGATATTAAATTCTTTAAAATTCATGTCTTTAATAGTTTGATAAGAGTGTTAATTTATTGTTCTTGTTTTGTTTTTAAAGTAAGTAGATTATCCTACTTTTTTATTGTGTTTTGAAGGTTGTAGACTATCCATATTTAAATTAATATTCTAATTTTTAAACACTAGTTTTTTCTTAAAAAAAGAAGATTTATTCTTCTTTGTAGAAATTGTGATTTGGATATTAGAGGTTTTAGATTAGTTTCCTCTAATTTGACTCATGGATTTATTTGAATTGTCTATGAAAGGAAAAATTATAGATGCTACTCTTGGCAAAAGTGAAGAATAGATTTGCAACTATTCTAGATCTTCATAAGCTTGTCAACACTTTTTAAATATAAATCTTACATATTTCTAACATCAATCATAGAGTTAGTATTCCTACATCCATAGAAGAAGTCAAAAATACTTTTTTTTGGTTTAGATCTTTTATAAAAAAAAGCTTTATGACTCTTCAATAATTTGAATTCATTTTTGGAAGTATTTGAAGCTACATTAAAAATGTGATTGAAAAAGAAAAGCAAAGTCCAAACTTATATCTTTACAAACAAGATCATGTTTAACCACCATATATATTGTTGAATTTTAAAACCTTGCTTGCAACATGAATCGGAATAAAAAAGCCCTTATCGATAAATTTTAATATAAATTAAAAGTTAATATTAAAGATTTATTGTTAAAAATACTAAAAATAAATTCATTAGAGCAATTTATTGCTTGAGCCATTGAATGCAAGAATTGACTCTTTAAAAGATACCAAGAGCAAAGATATGGTTGGAAAAATACAATGCAAGTTATAGTAATTTCTTCTAGGTTTTTAAAAGCTTATTCATTAAGATTAAAATATATACAAATTAATACAATAATTTTTAAATTTCTTATTAATTTTTTTTTGATATTATCAAAAAGGTTTATACTTATATTGTAGAGAACCTAAGCAAAATACTCAAAATTATGCAAAAAAACAATACAACCACAAAATGAAGAGCATGGTTGCCAAAAAAGATAATGTGTCAAAAAATAAGTTTTATCAGCTAAAATAGAAACTCTATGTAAATCATTAAATTGATTTATAAATCGTTTTAAGATAAAAATATGTAATTAAAATATCAAGTGCAATTATTAGATAAATGGTAGTTTAAAAGACTTTAGATATAAGAAAAATAATATTAATAGAAAAAATATAATTAGTATAAAAAATCTAGTAATTTTTTTTAAGTAAAAGGCATCTTAGAAGGATTAAGTGGCATTTTTTTAAGGTTTTAAGAGTATCTAAAAGAAATCTAAAATCTTCCAACTTCTAATATTATATGGTTCAAATATAATTATATATGATTTAGATATATAATAGGTATAATAATAGATTTTATATAGATTATTAAAAAAATATAATAGAATATATTATATATATGGTCCAAATATAATTTATATATAGATATATATAATCTATATACATTTTGTATACCATTCAAATATGATATTAGATTTTGTATTGGATATGGAAATAATTACATATGCATATGGTCAAATTACAATCAATGTATTATATCAGATACAAATTTGGTTATATGTTGGATAACAAAGATTATCTAATGGCGGGTTTTGAGTAGATTTTGATCCAAGTACTAAGGAGATTTTGCTGCCATTGGAGCAGTTGGTATTAGGGGTCCTGTGCTTGATCAATTTTTATTTTCTTTTTTTTTCTTTTTTCTTTTATTTTTTCTTTGCTGAATTTTAAGCTCTATATTTTTTGGCAATTTGTGCTTCCCTCTACTTCTTAGGTTTTGTGCATGTGGCAATTCTTAGAGGGCTTTGGTTCTTTTGGTTCTTTTGGTTCTATTACTATGGTGGAAGAGGCTTAGCTTTGAGTTTTTTTTTTCTTCTTCTTTTTTGTGTTTCTTTTACTTTTCTTCCATGGATGGTAGTACCAATGATTTGTGTTGTGGCAAAGTTGCAATCTTATTAAAGCCTTGCCTCTTTACAATTTTGCAAGGCTACAATGGTGGATTTGCTTTCTGTTTTGTAGGATTGACTCTTCTTTGAAAGTCTATTGTGTTGTTCCAAAGAATCAAAGATTACATTGTAATGATTCATTCCATTTTAGAGTTTTTGGTGTTAATAAAGTATCATTAGAACGTGCTCTTAAATATCTTATAGTAACCAAAGATCCTCAAAGTTGATACATACTTGGATTCAATGTGATGATGGAATCTAGATTTGGATATTGGTGATGCAGCAATTGGCTTGATTTTATTTTGTCTAGTGGTCAAATTGTAGCAATACTTGAAGGTAAAATATTTTTGAATCTTTTGAAGAGAAACTAGAGGCAAAATTTAATAGTGTTCTTTGTTTTATTCTAAACTTAGTTGCATATTCTTGGCCTTAGCAACCTTGCATTAGTAATAGTAGGAAGTACTTTTACATTAGCCAAATTAGTTTGTTCTTTTTCTATTTTTTTTCAAAAGATTCTTCCATCATTAGTGATAGTAAATTATCAAAAATACAAAAGAAAAATTCTTCAAGTAGAAGGTAATATAAACATGAGCAATTAAGGCAACCAATCAATAACATCTAATTATACACCTTTGTTTGGCTTGAATCTACTTCCATGGATTCTACTCCTATGACTTCAATTCTATTCAACCATCATCAGTTACTACAGCTTAGATCATCATTTTTTATTTTATTTTATTTTATTTTTAGTAATTCAACATCTGATCAAGTAATCTAGATATTAAATAAGGAGCTTAGAGTGCTCTATTATTTGATATATCTAATACATTTGATTTTTGAGATTTAGCTTAAAAGTATCAATGGCAGAAGCTAATATTTCCATTGAGTACATTCAAAGAGCCATACAAAGTAACAATTCTAAGGCACCATTTCTTGATGCCTTATATTCATTCTATTTATAGAATATAATTGAAT